AGCTAATAAAACAAATTCGGAGGGAGAGGCCAGACTTCGATGCTGCTTTCCTGATGAGGCGCTGGGGGAGTAGAGAGATGAGCTGCAGAGATTATCTATTGCTGCGGGAGTTCGGATATCCCCGGCTGACCAAGATGTTAAGGGCAGCATCCCAATCTCCCAAAATTCTCTTTTCCCTGATCCCTCTTAGGATAATTACTTTTTAATATTTTGGAAACTTTGTTTGGCATTTTGAGACTTTTTTGACTACTTGTAGTACACTATGATCTTCGTTTGATATTTCGTGACGTTTTGTCTAGAATGGATCAATTTTCCTGTTTTGCATGGTTTCTTTAGCAGGGATCTCATTTTAAATATGGCAATACTTCATGAACTTAGTTTGATATACATAAGTACTACATTGCTTACGACCTTAGATCAGCCTGTATACGTGACTTGTAGGATTCCTTAGGACGAATTTCATCGAAGAGTTGCAGCACTTGCAACTTTAGCTCGGCCTACGTATAGAGCAGGGCTTTGAAGAATTTCTTAGGAGGAATTTTGTCTAAATGTTGCAACACATACAACCTTAGCTCCGCCTACACATAGAGCAGGGCTTTGGCGAATTCTTTAGGAGGAATTTTGTCTAAGTGTTGCAGCCCATACAACCTTAGCTCGGCCTGCGCATGGAACATGGCTTTGGCGAATACCTTGGGAGGGATTTTGTTTAAGTGTTGTAGCACATACAACCTTAGCTCGTCCTGCGCATGAAGCAGGGCTTTGTAAAATTCTTAAACAAACGTCGAATTGAATGTTCAAAATAAGGAGTCCTTTTTATTGATATAGTTGACATTACAAGCGAGTTCACATGTCATGGACTCTTCACGTTCACTGGTGATATTGCCTAAGGTGCTTGACATTCCAAGGGTGGGATAGAGGTCTACCCCCAGGTTGATCAATTCATATGCCCCTCTTGGCAGGATCTTTGTTATCAGATAGGGACCCTCCCAGTTCGGTCCTAGGCATCCACTGCCAGCCTCCGTTGTTTCTAGGAACACCTTTCGTAGGACTAGGGATCCCACTTCAAATTCTCTCCTTCGTACTTTCTAGTTGTAATACTTGGTGTTTCGTTGCTTGTAAACTGCATTTTTGAGTTCATCGTTGTTCCTCTTTTCTTCGGCGAGGTCAAGTTTCATACGAAGAGCCATATGGTTCTTTTCTTCATCATAGGCAGTTATGCGAAGTGAGGGAATACTGACCTCCAGTGGGATCACAGCCTCCACACTGGAAGCCAGTGAGAATGGGGTTTCTCGCATTCTAGTCTATGCAGTGGTGCGATAAGACTACAACACACTGGAGAGTTTTTTAGCCCATTCCCTTTTAAACACATCAAGTTTTGCTTTCAATGTGTGTTTAATGATTTTGTTGATGGCCTCAACTTGGCCATTTGCCTATGGATGGTTCGAAGTTGGGAAATGTTTCTTGATTCCGAACCCTTCGTAGAAGTCTGAAAGGCGAGCGTTGTTGAACTGTTTTCCATTGTTAGTTACAATGGAGTGAGGTATGCCGAACTTACAAATGATGGATTCTCAAAGAAAGTCTATCGTTTTTTGTTCGGTGATCTTGGCAAGTGGCTCGGCCTCGGCCCATTTAGTGAAGTAATCCATTGCAACTATCGCGAATTTCACACCTCCCTTTCCAGTGGGCATAGGTTTGATCAGGTCGACCCCCCATTTCGCAAAGGGCCAAGGTGCCTTCACCGGGTTTAGTTTGCACGGTGGAGTATTTATGATAGGGGCGAGACACTGGCACTTGTCGCATCTTTTGATAAGTTCGAGGGCATCATGTCTTATTTCAGGTCAAAAGTACCCTTGACGTATGATCTTGTGGGCCAGGGATTGCCCACCAGAATGATTTCCACATATTCCCTCTTGAACGTCTTGTAAGGCGTGTTGGGCTTCTTCTTCATTCAAGCATCTGAGCAAGGGTGTAGAATATCCCCGCTTGTAGAGGACATTATTGATGAGTGTGTATCTGGGTGACTTGATTCGGAGTTTTATGGCTTTTACCGAGTTTTCGGGACATTTCCCAGTCTTCAGGTGTGTGATGATCTCGTCCTGCCAGATTAGTTTGTGATCTATCATTATAAGGGCCATTTCGACCAATTTGGTGGCAGGTAGGGATATTCTTCCCACAGGGATGCTATCGAATTCTTCAATTCCCTCACTGGTTGCTAGGCGAGCCAAGGCATCAGCGTGGCCATTCTAAGATCGGGGGATCTGCTTGATTTGGATGGTGTTGAAGCTTTCGAGCTCTTTCCTTGCAACCTGTAGGTAATTGTCAATTCTTTCTTCTTTCGCCTGATACACATCGTTGATCTGATTCATGACTAGCTAGGAGTCGCTGTATATCATTAGGCTGGGAATTTCCAACCCTAAGGCCATCCTTACTCCGGCAATGAGAGCATCTTATTCAGCCTCATTTTTTGACGCCTTGAAGTCAAATGGCAGAGCTTCACAAAATATACGTTGCTCTTGACTGATCAATACAACGCCAGTCCCAAATTGTTCTTCGGTAGATGACCCGTCAACATAAAGTTCCCAAGGTATTTCTTTTGGCAGTTCCTCGGTTGGCACGCTGCAGAACTCAGAGACAAAGTCGGCGAGTGCTTGGCCCTTGATGGAGGAACGGGGTGTGTACTTTATGTCGAATTGTCTGAACTCCACCGCCCATTTTACCATCTGAATTGAAGTGTCGGGTCTTTGCAATGTTTGTCTCAATGGAGAGTTAGTGAGGACTTCAATGGAGTGTTCCAAGAAATGTGGCCTCAGTTTTTGTGCTTCCATCAACAGGGTGAATGCTAGTTTTTCCACAGACGAGTACTGGAGCTTGGCTTCGTGGAGCGCCTTGCTTATATAATAGACTGGGTGCTGAACGTCGGCCTCCTCTCGGGTCAGTACGGCACTAATGGCGTGTTCTAAAATAGATAGGTATAGTTTCAGGACTTCAGATGCCTTAGGTTTTGAGAGTAGTGGAGGCTGAGCTAGCTGTTTCTTTAACTCGTTAAAGGCTGCCTGGCATTCCTCGGTCCATTTGAACTTCTTTCCTCCTCGTAGTGTATCGAAGAAGGGTTTGTATCGGTTTGTAGACTTAGAGACGAACCGAATGAGGGCAGCGATCTTCCCGGTTAAACTTTGCACCTCTCTGAGTTTGGTTGGAGGCTTCATTTGAATAACAGCTTGTATTTTTTTGAGATTTGCCTCGATTCTTCGATTATTTACAATGTAACCAAGGAACTTTCTCGACTGACCCCGAAGGCACATTTCCTCGGGTTCAATTTCATTACATATTTTCTCAAGATATAGAACATCTCGACCAGGTGTCAGCATTTGTCTTTGGCCTTGGCACTTTTGACCAACATGTCGTCAACATATACTTCCATTATTTTTTTCGATCTGCTGGAAAAACATGGAATTCACATGTTGTTCACAGGTAGCCCCAGTGTTTTTGAGCCCAAATGGCATACTTTGTAGCAGTAAAGACCTCGGCCAGTCACAAACAAGGCATGCTCCTGATCTAGGCCGTACATTGGTATCTGATTATAGCCGGAGTACGCATCCATGAAGCTGAGTAGTTCGTGTCCTTCAGTGATGTCCACCATTTGATTTATTCTTGGTAAGGGAAAATTGTCTTTGGGATCTCCATTGTGTTTTTTCACAAGAATCGGGTTTATGACCCACTTTGGATATTTTGCTTCTCGAAGAAAATCGTTGTGCAACAGTTTCTGCACCTCCTTGTTGAGTGCTTCATATCTTTCGGGGTTCAGGGGTCGTCGTTTTTACTGTTTCGGTAGAACTGAGGGGTCTACCTGCAATTTGTGGCAGGCAATTTTGGGGTCTATTCCTCTCACGTCCTCATGGTTCCAGGCAAAGACATCAAGGTTCTGCATGAGAAAAGCCAAAATTTCACTTCGGGTGGAGGGTTGTAGCTCGCGTCTGACTTTCAGTTCTTTTGACGGATCGTCGACACAAACTTGGACTCCTTCTAACTCTTCGATAGGTTCTCCCCCTTCGATTTTGATCTGCGGGTCTAGTGAACTGAGTTCAAAATCCCATACGTGAGCCCTATACACTCCCGAGAGGGTGCGTTGACGGCGGTTGTAAGCTTTCAATTGTCATATATCGACGAGCTCCCTATTTCCTTTGACTTCGCCCACATCATGGGGAGTAGGGAACTTAATTGAATATTAGTATAGTGACACCCCTGCTTTCAAACTGAATATCAATGGTTGCCCCATGACGGCGTCATAAGGGAATGAAGTGTCGAACACCACGAACTCGGAGTTTGTCTTTACTTGACGGGGTGCCGATCCAGACTCAACTTTGAGTTTGATCAATCCTTTAGTTGAGATCAGAGCTCCGCTTAGTCCAAGGACCATATTTGGTCATAGGAAGTTGGTAGGTATGCCCATCCACTTGAGGGTGTTGCTGAAGAGAATGTTGAGAGCACTTCCCGTATCCACCACGACTTTTGGGATGGTTACTCCGGCGACATGTAATGAGATTACCAGGACTCTGGGGTAGGGATGTGGATCTGTCTCTTTTCGTCAAAGGATAACTGGTCATCCGTAGGTCGATTGAAATGTTTCTAAGTTATGCCGATCTCAAAGAGATCCGCCACGTTTGGTCTCTTCAATCTGGCTTCCCCGGCTCGCGTATTTGCCCTACCCCTTAGCATGTTAACCTGAGGTTTGGGTAGGTCGATATTGCACGCTTTGGCCCCAACTTGGTCTCCTCGAACTAACTCAGTCCCATGAGGAGAAGGGAACTTTATACAGTAATGATAGATTAATGTGGCGACTTTCAACTCGTGCAATATGGGTCGTCCTAATATTGCGTTGTAGTTGGATGGCAGATTGACTACCACGAAATCTGCCATATCTTTCTTTGACGAGGGGCATCGTCCAGCTCTACAATAAGGACGATCTGACCTTGGGCCTCAATAGGTTCTGCAGAGAACCCCTACTCTTTCCTTGAGTATGGTTGAAGGTAGCGTTCCGATATTTCTAATTGCCTCAAAGTTCGTGAATATAGTATGTTGATCGAACTCCCATTATCCACTAATGTCCTGTGAACACTCACCCTGGCAATTGGCATGTTGACCACCAGGGCGTCACTTTGGTTCTGGAGGATTCCTTGAGAATCTTTCTCTGTGAACCATAACCATTCAGGGTCTGTGCCGATCTGAGGGGTTTGATCTTCGTAGTTCAGCATGATTCGAGAATTTCGGGCTTGCCTTTGTTTCGCCCTTTTAGATCCCTCAATATACTGGTTTCTTCTGACCATCATTTTGATTTCGCTGCATGGGGGTGGATTACGATTGTGAACTGTCTGTTGAGCTTTCATAGGAGGTCCCTGTAGCAATGGTCGCTGTGACGAAGGTCGGTCTGCTTCTTTTGGTTTGGCAATAAATTCCTGTAGCCAACCTCTTCGAGTCAAGGACTCAATTTCCTCCTTCAATTCTCGGCAGTTATCAGTGTCATGATCCACCATCCTGTGATATCGGCAGTATCGTCCTTGGGGGTGTCTTGCTTGCTCGTTCTTTTGGATCATTGGCTTGCGAAATGCCTCTTTTTCACTAATTTTCATGAATACTTCTTCCAAGGAGGCTTTGAGTGGGTGGTATTCTCCAAATTTGTACGGCTAAGCCTTGTGACATTCTCTTTCTCTCATGTCCTTCCTTCTTTCGTGCTGAGGACTGTTATTCGGCTTTTTCTCTTTTGCTGTATTGCTAAGGTCGGGATTGCACTTGGCTTCCTCTTGATCAGAGGTTGCTTCTTCAACATTATGTATTTTTCAGCTAGGTTCAAGAACTTGTGATAGGTTCTTGGGTCGTCCTCATGTACCGACCACCCGAATCTCGTTCTAGTCCAGCTAGTACTGCCATGAGTGTGGCATCATCGGATATTTTTTCTACTTCCATAGATTGTTTATTGAACCTGCTCAGTAACCTTTGAGGGGTTCACTCTTTCCTTGTTTGATACTTACTATAACTGCTTCTTGGGCATTGTTCTAGCTTTGGAGCCCATGAACTGGGCTAGAAATGCTCTGGCCAGGTCATTCCAATTTTTTAACGACCTCTGGTGCAGTCTCCTGAACCATCTCTGAGCTTTGTCTCCTAGAGTTAGGGGAATGCCCGATACATGATGGCGTTGCTTGTCCCATGCAACTCCATCCACGAGGTGTACTTGTCGAGGTGGCTGAGGGATCCCCATCTCCCTCGTACGCGGCCATCTGGGGAATCTTCAATTTTTCGGGCAATGGTTCCATGAGGACATCCTCAGTAAATGGGAAATGTCGCTTGGTGAGAGAGTCTTCAGTGCCACCTTTGTTTTTAGCCTCCAGCTCAGAAATGCGCCTTTTCAGGGCGCTCAGCTCGGGTTTTGTCTGTTCCAGAGGACGTTTAAGGTTGGAACCAACCTATCCTCACATAGGGGTTAACAAGTACTGGGTCCCCAACATGTCGAATACGCTGCCGATCCTCCTTGTCGGGGAATCCTTACTTCTGACTTTGTCAGTTGGCTTCTTGAGGATTCTCTTCTGAAAAAGTGGAGAGTCCTCCTGGTGGGGGGACGTTTTGCTCTTGTCCTTGCTGGGGATTCTACCTCGGTATCTGGTGGGGACTTGGCTTGGGTCCGTTCCAATTGTCCTACTGCATTTGTCAGTTTTTTCAGGGCTTCCCTCATGGGGGTCATCTGTGGGTTTTGTCGTCGTGGAGAACTTGGTGTAGTATTGGTTTCATGAGGGTGGGTGTGAGAGGATTTCTAGAACTAGAGCTGTGACTCATGGTTCTCGGGTTTTCACAATGGGGCCCTCCTTCTAGTGCCAAGCTATTGATGTCAAAAGCTAATTTTGAGCCAACTTTAAGAAAAAATGGTGATTTATTGCTAAATTGGATCACAAAATATATAGAAAAGAAGTAAAATTGGATTATGATTTTGAGTGTGTATTTCCCCCCGTTTACAAGACTTCTACTCTATTATTTCTACATGGCTTCAGCCGAAATTACATCAAATCAGTCAAATTAGTTACAGTACCAAGCTTGAAACTCGGGTCGTCGAATTCTCCTGTGATTGGTCGATGAGGCCGGTGGCCATGTGTCAATGTTTTCTCCAAGTAATGATGACCTACAAAGGGCTTGAGATTCCTGGCTTTAGATTGGTGGTTTTGGGCGGTGGTGACATCACTCCTGACAAGTGTATTGATTTGAGAAGATGATGTGACAAGGGGTAATCATGATATTTTCAGAAGTTACGGTAGGTCTAATCCTAGTTGTGGAAAATCCGAACTCACATCTGACTGGAATGGGCCCCTGGACAAATCTCATGAGATTGGAGTTCGGTGGTCAACAAGTGTTGTCACCCAAAACGTCCCCACCTTTCATTTTTTAACATTTTCACACATATTTTCACCTTTCATTGTGAAAAATGTTCTTTTCATCCAATTTCTCAATAAAAAAATGTATGAAAAATATAACCTTCTATTTAAATTTTTTTTTAAAAAAAAAAAAAGAAGAAGAAGAAAAAGAAAAATTAAAGAACAAATTGTGATCATACTCTCAATCTTTTTAATAAACTACATATGAGTCCAAATAAATTATTAAAAGGGTAACTAGCACAAAACGTACTTACCTTTCAATATTATCGCAAAAAGCTTTCATACCTTTCTTTTTTATTATTTTCACATTTCTTTACGAAAATAATCATTTTTGCCCATTTTTGAATTAGAAGCTGTAAAATAACGAACGTACCCTTTAATTTTTTTTTATTTGAATAAGAGAGTATATTCATTATTTTATAGTTTTTTTTAAAGTTTGGGAGTATAATTACAATTTTTCTTTTCTTTTATTTAAATATGAGTATATATTTGTCATTTTACATTTTTTATGTATTGAGAAATTGAAAGAAAATGATATTTTTCTCAATGAAAAGTGAAAATAGAGGTGAAAATGCCAAAAAGAAAAAAGAAAAAAAGAAAATTAAGGATATTTTGCACAATTATATTGAAAGATAAGAACGTTTTGTACTAGTTAACCATTTTTTAATTGATAGTGTTGGTCGATTTCACCTGTCATAATGGCGAGGGCATCTCGATCAGCTGATTCCCGCTGCGGAACCTCACCACTGATCACTCTCCATCAATGAGGTCAGGAACTTCATCACTGATCACTCTTCGACGTGAGAAAAAAGGTGTTCTTAGGAAGGAGACAAAGTGAAGGATAATATTTAAGAATGAATGCTTGCTACAATTGGAACTTCGTAATTAGAATATGAAAGTTGCCCTTTATACTATGTCCATCATTTTTCATCAAGGTGACGTGACAAACAATGGTTATAATCACATGGGACTGGTGTCTTAAGATTTTAGGAAAATGGGAGCAGGAATCAAATTACGTTGAGGTGAGAAAAATCATTATGGTGTTTTAGAAAATCTATTTATGAACATGGAGTGATCGTTGTCTATCGATCTCACATCGTCGTGTCTAATGACACTCTACAAATCACCTACTCATCATATGGTTGTCATTACCTCGTGGTTCATCGATGATTGGGCCACATGATTGCCTGTAAAGTTACTGAGATCAATTACTTCTCTTTACAACCCTACTATTGATCGTAGTGTACGTGCTAAGTCCTGTTTGTTTATTTATGATATTCATGAGCTTAATCGTCGAACACGGAGCATGGTAGCATCATAGCACCCCCACTCTCGTTGGACTGAGTGTCGATAGGTATAGAGTAGAATTCAAAATTCTTGATTATTCAACAAGGTGAAAACTTTGGGGAGACGAGATTATTATTACTCAAATCCACATGACCAGTGGCGGATCTAGGTAGTGGCGAGCTAGGGCGGCCGCCCTAGCTGGATCTGCCGGAAGCTTTTTTTTTTTTTTTTTGGTTGACAATAGATTAAGATTTTAGCTTATATTACTGATAGTTCTTTTTTCTTTCAAACTTCCCTTCTAGTTGAAATGGTTAGGGCTTATATTTACGTTTTGCAAGTCTCGGTTTCGAATCCCTTCATTGCCAATTATATGTGTAAATTTTTTAGTTTTACAATTTCTACCAAAATTTGTACAATAGGAAAGACTGGGTGAGATTCGAAGTCTCGGTTTCGAATCCCTTCATAGCCAATTATATGTGCAAATTTTTTAGTTTTACAATTTCTACCAAAATTTGTACAATAGGAAAGACTTGGTGAGATTCGAACCGTGGACTCACATTCTAATAATTGAATTGCCTGACCACTTTGGCATCCTTGGCTTTTGAAACTTAGTTTAACAAAATAATATATATTACATTTATTGGGTTTAATAAAATTATAAAGATTAAAAATCATGCTCTTCCTTTAAATTATATGAAACTTGACAACAATGTTATTTGGTGAACATACGATTTATTCTTATAACAGAATTATATATGTTCAATATGAACAAAATAATTGTTATATTTAAATTTTAAGCTTTGTTTTATTTTCATTTTTTTTTTCAAAATACATTTTTATTTATCTTATTTTTAATCATACATTTTTCACTAAAATAATATTACTCCCAAATTCAAAACTTTTTCCTTATTTTTAACCTTACATTCTTTATGAAATCACTATTTCAAAATGCATTTTTTGCTAAAAAAAAGGACATCAAACGGGGTTTTAATACTTTATTGCGGCTGACGGTCGACAATCAACAGTCGTCCGTGCTGACTCAAAATTCTGGATTCGCCACTGGATAGGAGTGGGGGTAAGTGAAGAAGAAGGTTAGCAGTACTTTTGTTTTGTTTTTTTATTTTATTTTATTTTAAATTTTTCTTTTTATTGGGACCCCATCTGCAATTCTCCCTATATAAAGAGCCAAATATTTCACTTGATGGTGGATTTGGATGGAAATGGATGGAAGGACGTTTTGCAAAAACCAAAGGTGTAATTAAGAATGAAATTGCCCGAAAATGGAAGGTATGGATGTTTTGCACAATAAAAATGAAATTTATAGATGTTTTGTGCTACTTACCTGTTTTAATAACATTGAAAATACTAAATCCTACATAGCACAATAAATATTTAAACGTCAAAATTCGGAACTCAATATAAAAATATCGAAACATTGGGTTCAATATTATCCTAATATTTATACAACTAGCAAAACATTATAATAATACAAAAACGTGATTTGAAATGAAACACTATCACCAGAAATTAAAGATTTGGAAAAAAGATTAAAATAACTCTTCAATCTTGAATTCCTTTTAACACTTCTTGAATTATCTCCTTGGATGTCTTCTCCTTCAACTTCAAGAAACAATTTATGAAAAAATGATTTGGATATGTGTTGTATCACAATCTTCTTCCAAATTTTACAAGAAATATAGATTTTCTTTTCTCAATGACTTTTCAAACAAGTTTTTTTGTATGTGTTAAGCCTCTAAGCTTCCTTCTTTTGAATTGTAAATGAAGAGTTGTATTTGTAGATCAAGATTTAGGTCAAGAATTGTACCCTAATTGCCTTTCAAGCAAAGATTAAATTAATATGGAAACAAAATCTTCCTATCGAAAACAAACCATTATGATCGCTTGACAAACAATTTGAGCTGCAA